TTTTTTCTAGTAAAGTATCCAAATCTTAAACAGATGTATTAGACTCTGTGTTATCTTTTATCTCAAGCTCACCAGGCTTCGGGGCCACCAACGCTGAGATTTTCTCAAATCTGAGATTTCTCAGAAAATCTGAGTTTTTCTCACCAAACTGTGCCACCAAACATATATTTTCTCAAACTCAGACTTATCTTTTGAGTTTTTTCTCAAATCTGAGATTTCTTCTCAAGTCTGAGATTTTTTTCAAAGAGGCGTGCCACCAATGTTTTTCCCGACTCAGGTGAGAAAAAAATCTGAGATTTCTCAGAAAATCTTGAGATTGATGGATACCAGTCTCAAATAAAATCTCAAAGAATATTCTTTTATGGTAAAATGATTGCAAATGTTAGAACAAAACACAATTAAATCCATAAATACAAAATTAACGTACAAGTTCAAAAAGAAAGTCAATTTCCATTTTGTGAGGGGGGGGGGGGGTATTAATATCACTCACATGTTAATATCGCCACACATGATATCAAGCCATCAAAAAAGAAAGGGATTATTGGTATTCTAGTGGCACACTATAAAACAAGTATATCTTCATCTATATAAGAATTGATTTATCAAATTCATATTTAATGTGCTATTTGTCACATATGGCAAAATTAGATGTAATATTCACATTGTTCATGTATAGGAAAGGAAATATAACTAGATAAGATTTCAAGCCTACCCGGCCACGTCTTTTTTTTTCCTGTAGCTATATTTTACTACATGTATTTATTAGCCTTAAAGTAAATTAAAAAATTTAAATGAAATCTGATTAAATATAATATTTACAAATATTTATATTCCTTCGAGATACGTAAATCACCTTCATGGGTGATAACATTGTCTAATATGGTTCTTTATTAAATTTATAAAATTTAGATCGACTTTATAACAACAACATGCAGTGACGTACATGTAGCATCGTTTTTGAAAGGGGGGCAGCTACAGAAAAAAAATAACTTACCTGAAAAAACTTGACATGACAAAAAAGAAAATAGCCTAAACTCGAAAATCATATTTCGAGGGGGGGGGGTATTTTTTTTTCAGGGTCAACTTTTCCAGTACCAATTTTTCACAATACAATGCTACATTACCCTTATTTCACTTTACTTTGCTAAAAGGGGGGACTGGTCTTTCAATTACTGTAATATGTTCAATAGTAAAAGTTATGCCTGAAAAAAAAGTCCCCCCAGTTGCTACGTGCCTGACATGAGCAATGCGTTGTACTTAAATCCTTGACTGTTCGCGTTTATTTTATTTATAAGAATAAACTTGACTTGTCACCATTCTGAAATACATGTATAAATCACAATGAAATATATGGATGAAAAGTTTTTGAAATAAAAAAAATTATCGTTCGCGTGGTTTTTAAAAATGTTACAAATTCATTACGCGATGAAACATGTATAAGAGATTAATCAGTTTCTTATGATCATTAAGCCGCTCAATTACGCTAGATTGACTTGGGTTTCCAGTGTAACAATGATTGTTGGTCAAGTTGTGCAATATATTCGTTGTTTATCATTTATAAAAAATAATTTAAAAAAAAATACTGAGATCGATATTTAAATCGTCACAGAGGATCATACAAAACTGGAATGTGTTAGTTTGCTTCTTAAATCCATAAACATGCGCTGAATTCAAATTTTAGCTGATTTCCTTATTTCAACTGACAAGGGGAGAGGGTTAGAAACTGAATATTCCCCTACAATATATATATAACATTTTCTGAAAAAAATTTAAAACCAAGCATGCGCTTCTTACCCGTCCCTGGATATGTTCGCTGTTCATCTTATCGCACTAAACCACAACTTTGGAACACTTCCGAAATTTATTACAGCCTGTGAGAAATTATGCTACTGGGGTATATAGTATCGAGGTTTTTTTAAAAATTATATACATGTATTTATAAAAAAAAAATCATTTATTTATTTTCGATCTGCTAGAAAAATATCACTTACTTTTATTCTAAATACATAAAGTCCCTATAACTCAAACACTTTTTTTTGCTATGAAGAATTAATACCTAACAAAAAAAAGCAAGAAAACTAGAGTCTACAATGTCTCAGGGAAATATAGTCTTGATCCGCCTACCTGCTTCACGTAACGTCACGATGGCGGAAATTATGTTTTTTATGTCGACAGACGAACCAAGACTACAACGTTTTGATATGTTTTTATGTTTTACTTCTATAGAAATATATTAACGAGGGTTAAATAAACATTCATTGTCGCGAACGTCGTATTGGAATCCTCTCTGTTGAATCACGCAAAACAGCAAATAAAAGACGAAGGAACTGGGGTGTGTGTTTTTACCGCGATCTACACCTAAATAATGGATAAACAACTGAATAAAAGGTAAATTCAATCATTGATTCAACAAAATCCTTGCATTTTTTGAAAAAAGGCCGCATATGACAACGTAGATATATCTAAGATTTTTCTCAAATCTCAGCTTACGCGAGACCAATCTCAGAAATGTTGATGGCACGGTGTTTTTCGAAAATCTCAGGTGAGGCAGAAATCTGAGATTTGAGGCTGAGTTTTGAGCTGAGATTTTTATAGGTTGGTGGCCCCGAAGCCAGATGTATCGTATCGATATAAGAATGGAAATAAACAATGTTAATTGACAATATGTCGTCAATCTATCTATATGTCGAGTTGTGTTTTCTTCTATTCATGTACAAGCTTTTGAACAAATTCTGATTCATATGAATACAAAAGTAGGTCTGCTTATAACATTGCGCAATTGGTACCCATGGGAATTCCAATAGATAGTTTTCGATAGGCCTGAATTTAGCGAAAGTTGCCTCCCGTTGGCCGCCATTTCAGTGATTTTCCCTCTTTGTCTTACCAAGTTTAAGAAAATATAGCAGAAATATTTGGTGGAAAATCTTTATCAAATAATTTTTTTTAAATAAAGGAGGCTTCCAAAAATTTATATACTTCAGAAAAATAATGATTTCTAATTCAAAATAGCAAATATAAATTTTTTTAATTGGTTGAACAATGAAGGAATGTGAGCATTTGGACCTCCAGTATGGCGGCCAAAGGGACGTAACTCTTGGTCAATCGAAAACTATCTATAGATTGTTGGAAGACCTAGTCTCCAAATACCACATAGATATTGTCAATCAGGAACTCAAGCATCTTTTTAATTTCAACTTCAGAGTACTTGTTTTTACAATCAGAATTTTTTTAACAAAATAATTTTGCAAATGACCAATGACTAGGTAAATCATTTTACGAATTCTAATTTCATTGAAAAAGCAGCTGTCAATAATTTAATGTTTAAAAGCCTGGACTTGAATTTTTCGTAGGGAATGGTTCAATATAAAGTTGAAAAGTCGTAAGTTTTTATGTTGCTTTTGATAAAATTCTGAGATTTTCATTTTTAGCTCTACTGGTCAGAGACCAGAAGAGTTATGCGATAGTAAGGTGTCCGTCGTCCGTCCGTCTGTCTAGCTGTCTGTCCGTCTAAACAATTTTTCAAAACGCTACTCCTCCTACAGTTTTGGTCTTGGCAGACTACACTAAGATACATAATTCTGTGCATCGGTTTTTGATTTCAATGAACGGTGTTGCCATGGTTACTAAAAATAGAATAGAATTTTCTGTGAAATTCCTTTAAAACGCTACTCCTTCTACAGTTTTCGTCTGATTTCAATATTACTTGGCACACAATTAGAGTACACTAAGATACTTAGAATAGTGCATCGGTTTTTGATTTCGATGAAAGGTTTTGCCATGGTTATTAAAAATAGAATTTTCTGTGAAATTCCTTTAAAACGTTACTCCATCTACAATTTTTGTCTGAATTCAATATTACTTGGCACACAGGTAGACTACACTAAGATACATAAAATAGTGCATCGGTTTTTTATTTCAATGAACAGTGTTGCCATGGTTACTAAAAATAGAATTCTCTGTGAAATTCCTTTAAAACGCTACTCCTTCTACAGTTTTGGTCTGAATTCAATATTACTTGGCATACAAGTAGACTACACTAAGATACATAAAATAGTGCATCGGTTTTTGATTTCGATGAACAGTGTTGCATTGTTATTAAAAATAGATATGTCTGTGAAATTCCTTTAAAACGCTACTCCTACAGTTTTGGTCTGATTGCAATGGCTTCTTTTCTCATACTTTGTAAGAAGTACAAACCAGTAGAGCTACAGTCTCGACAGAGACTTCTGGTTTTAAGAGTATTCACATCTGCATGATTTACACTGCTCAATATATTGCTTCATAATGCTCTTGAATGTTCCCTTTCAAGCTGTAAATATTTTAGTGAGGAGTAAAGCAAGAGCCTTGGCTAAACATTTACTGGAACCCACTATGTTTCTGTGTTTGTAAGGACTTTTAGGAAGTTTTGGAATCTAATATAGATATGGTAATTTAAATTCATTTTGGTTGAAGGGAATATTGAATATATTCATATCAAACATAAGTTTGAAGAATTTCCTCCTTAATTTCATTTCAGAAAAAGGTTTCATTTTTAAAACTTTGGTCTCAATCTCTCTCAAATTCAAATACATCTCAGGTAATGGGTGTAAATTATCCAGTTTACAGACCATTATTTAAACAGGAAAATATATAATACAATCAACCTAAAGCAGGCGACTTGAAAGTGTCACCACATATCAATGGTTTTTACAATGCTAAGATGCTCTTTGGTTTGTCTGTCCAATTTTTTAAAACAGAGAGCTGCACTTCTACAGCTATATTCTTTGATTACTTTGCAGAAAAATATAACTACCGGTACATCGAACTAAGGTAACAGCATATCTTTCTCACATGAAATACACATACACAAAACTAAATACAATTCTTTGACTTGTTATATGTTTTATTTACTAACAAGGTTGTCATTGGAATTTCATTTGTGTCACTCCTTTTCACTCATTCTCTCTCACTGCAACAGATCAAATCTGCATGTACTGAATTATTCCATGATTGTCAGAATATAAGTAATAACCTCAGATTTATTTGAATCAAAAACGTGTAGCACAGAGGTGAACAATTGGAAATAAAGCCAGCTATTTCCTCATTGTCTGTAGTACACAGGGTGTTGTGAAATAAGTTGATCCATAATGTCAGTAATGTCACTACTGACCAACAATTCTCAAGGTTTCTGTTGACTTGGGGATTCGGATTTCGGTGATTCTCTCGATGTTGACTTTTTAGCAGCAGGCGAAGTACCTGAAGTCAAACAAGATACAGAATCATATAAAATGAATAATCATTCTAAAAACATCTTCAAAGATGTAAGAATGAAAAGCTTGTAAACAATGCCTACTTCTTATAACCATATTCAAAAATATTCAACCTTCTCTGATATATTAATTACCTGCTATGTTATATCCATAAGCAGCGTAGGCTGCTGTCATTCCTGCCTGGGCGCCTGCCAGTTCTGCGGCACTCAGAGATTTTCTGATACTGCCCCGCCCCCTGGGTCTTCGTGGGACCCCGGTGGAGCCTTTAGGTCGTCCCCTCTTTCCTGAACCTCTCTTACCAGTCGGGGTCACTATAAAACATCAATAGTTTCCATTTCAGCTCATAAAACAAACATTTATAGATTCAGGACTATTGAATTTACCAAGAGTTTATTACATTTTTTTTTTTTCTTAAGGTCTGACAAACTTGCAAAATTCTAATAGTTGACTGAGGAAAACAGGAAAGAGTTATTCTTTATTTTTTAGATATCAATAAGCATTAAGCTATTATAATGAATTGTGTATCTAGTTTTAAAATTCAGATTATGGCATTCCTATTTCCTGACACAGACCTGGGGGGAAGCCTGAGTGGGCGTCGTCCACAATAACCAGAGCATCGTTACTGCTGTCATCTATACCAGTCTGATTAGTGGCCTCACTTCCCACAGACATCTGAAATAATAAAACATCACTGTACAATACTGTACATCACTTCCCATAGACATCTGAAATATTTAAACATCACTGTACAATACTGTACATTACTAATCAACTCTATATCCAGTACTTACGACACTAAGGGGGCTGGCGGGGACAGAGTCCATGCTGTATACAGATTCGCTGTCAGCCTGGTACGTCACATTTACATCATCTCCCTTGGCCTTCTTTCCCTCTCTTTTCTGACAGAGAAACACGAGAATATAAACAATGGATCAAAGATCGTTTAAAGTCATTGGAGATTACAGTTTAATGGTCTGTCTATATCTGCTATTTTAAACCTCTCCATTGACAGAGTTTCTAACCTTGTACTCTCTTTTCCTCTTCCTTTCTTTATCCTTCCCTCCTTCTCCGTCTTGTCGTCCCTGCTTTACTGTTTACAGAAAGGAAATACAACACACATGAAAAGAGGCCCTTTTTTATTCTTAAATACCTGAAAGTTAAAGGTGTGTAAGAATATTTCAAAGAACACTTGCGTTTTTTCTCGATTTCTTCATCATCCAGCAGCAGAGAGACAACTTCTTTGGGTTTAAGCATGTCTGTTTTGTAATTCCCACCACTTATCACCATCCTTTGTATCTACAACAAAAATTCTTGTTTAGAGAAATGTTGTTTCAATAAAATAATTTTATTTCAAAACTAGTCTTCTTTCTTCAGGATGAAAATTGTTGATTTCAATAGAAAACTCTATTTCACACAGCTACAAGAAAATTAAAAGAGTTTGCATGGAATGGCAGTTTTTCACCTTTTAATATTTATATTTACAAATACATGATTGAAATGTACATGCATTTTATTCAGATTTCTCTTAATATCCACTCTTCCAATTCCTGTTAATTAATTCCTTATCTTCCAGTTTTCAATGGTTCAAGATTCATGCTGTTACCTCTTTCTTCACCCTGTCTATTTATAAGATCCATTCATTTATTAGATCCACCCCTTACATGTACCATACCCTTTTTCCTAGCTCTCTCTAGGATCCATCCCTTACCACTCTCTTTTTCCCTGACTATTTCTTAGATCCACCCCTTACCTCACTCTTCTCCCTGGCTCTCTCTAGGATCCTCTCCTCTATGGTCCCTTTACACACCAGTCTGTACACGGTCACCTGTTTGGTTTGACCAAGTCTGTGAGCTCGGTCCATGGCCTGCTGGTCTACTGTAGGATTCCAATCACTGTCATAGAAAATCACCTAAAACACAGAGCACAGACAAAATTAACACTCACAGAACAACTTGAGGTTATATTTCTTTTCCTTCAGTTATAGCCTTTAACATAACCTGTAAGGCTTTTTTAATTTATTTCCAAAATTAAAATAAGAAATTTGTATGTAGTAATGATTGTGCATTTTTGCAAGTGTATCAACTAAATGCCAGCCTAAAATTATTTTAACAAGAGGCCCAGGGGCCACAGCGCTCACCTGAGCACATCAGCTGGGAAAAAGCACATATCATGATTTGGACAAACTGGAATCTACACTACCTGAGGATAACTCTACATAAATATTACTAATCATTGCTTTGAAGTACTTGAAAAGAAGATTTTAAAAGGTTTCCCTATATATTCCTATGAGAATTTTTGGTCGGCCATTTTGGCCCCACCCTACCACCGAGGGTCATGATTTGAACAAACTTGAATCTACACTACCTGAGGATAATTTCACATGAGCTTCATCTTTCCTGTCTCAATGGTTCTTGAGAAGAAGATTTTTAAAGATTTTTCCTATATATTCCTATGTAAAACTTTTATCAGCCATTTTGGCCCCACCCTACCCCCAGGGGTCATGATTTGAACAAACTTGAATCTACACTATCTGAGGATGATTCCACATGAGTTTCATCTTTCCTGGCCCAGTGGTTCTTGAGAAGAAGATTTTTAAAGATTTTTCCTAAATATTCCTATGTAAAACTTTGATCGGCCATTTTGGCCCCACCCCACTCCCGGGGGACATGACTTGAACAAACTTGAATCTACACTATCTGAGGATGATTCCACATGAGTTTCATCTTTCCTGGCCCAGTCGTTCTTGAGAAGAAGATTTTTAAAGAATTTTCCTATATTTCCTATGTAAAACTTTGATCGGCCATTTTGGCCCCACCCTACCCCCAGGGGTTACGATTTAAACAAACATGAATCTACACTATCTGAGGATGATTCCACATGAGTTTCATCTTTCCTGGCCCAGTGGTTCTTGAGAAGAAGATTTTTAAAGATATTTCCTAAATATTCCTATGTAAAACTTTGATCGGCCATTTTGGCCCCACCCCACTCCCGGGGGACATGACTTGAACAAACTTGAATCTACACTATCTGAGGATGATTCCACATCAGATTCATCTTTCCTGGCCCAGTCGTTCTTGAGAAGAAGATTTTTAAAGAATTTTCCTATATTTCCTATGTAAAACTTTGATCGGCCATTTTGGCCCCACCCTACCCCCAGGGGTCATGATTTGAACAAACTTGAATCTACACTATCTGAGGATGATTCCACATGAGTTTCATCTTTCCTGGCCCAGTCGTTCTTGAGAAGAAGATTTTTAAAGATTTTTCCTATATACTCCTATGTAAAACTTTGACCGGCCATTTTGGTCCCCCTCTACCCCGGGGGTCATGGTTTGAACAAACTTGAATCTACACTATCTGAGGATGATTCCACATGAGTTTCATCTTTCCTGGCCCTGTGGTTCTTGAGAAAAAGATTTTTAAAGAATTTTCCTATATTTCCTATGTAAAACTTTGATCGGCCATTTTGGCCCCACCCTACCCCCGGAGGTCATGATTTGAACAAATTTGAATCTACACTACCTGAAGATGATTCCACGAGTTTCATCTTTCCTGGCCCAGTCGTTCTTGAGAAGAAGATTTTTTAAAAAAGCCATTAATTTTTCTCAAATTCATAATTATCTCCCCTTGGAAAAAGGCGTGGCCCTTCATTTGAACAAACTTGAATCCCCTTTACCCAATAATACTTTGTAGCAAGTTTGGTTGAAATTGACCCCGTGGTTCTTGAGAAGAAGATGAAAATGTGAAAAGTTAACAACGACGACGACAACGACAACGATGACAACAATGACGCCAGACAACGGACAAATTTTGATCAGAAAAGCTTACTTGAGCCTTTGGCTCAAGTGAGCTAAAAACACAAACAGACAATGACAGTTTAAACAAAAGCAGTTTATGAGAAAAGGGATATGTTTTATTTAATAGACGTACGGTGTCAGCTGCTGTAAGGTTGATTCCCAGTCCTCCTGCCCTGGTGCTGAGTAAGAAGACAAAGATATCAGACCGTGACTGGAAGTCGGCCACCATGTCACGTCTGTCCGAGATTTTGGACGATCCATCTAACCTCATGTATGTGTGCTTTCTGTGCCACATGTACTCCTAAAACAAAAATACATTTACAGAATTTAGAAATACCTAAAAAATTTACCTCTATATATCTGTAATTAGCATCAGAATAATATACGGTTGAGCTTCGTTATCTCAAACTCCGATATCTCGAATGCCATAGATATGTCGAAGTGATGTGGAAGTCCCAACCATATATTCTTTAAGTATTTTACCCTCAATATCTCCAATCCTTGGATATCTCGAAGTTTTTTATCAGTCCCATCAGGTTCGAGATAACGAAGTTTGACTGTATAATGTTCTTATTCAGTTAATTTATATGTACCTCCAACAAGTCAATCATGCGAGTCATCTGGGAGTATATCAACACTCTGTGACCCTCCGACTTCAACTTGGCCAACAAAGTATCCAGCACTGACAGTTTACCTGCATCTGATATCAGAGACTCCTTATCTACAAAAGGATGTGAAATACAACTTTTCTAATATTCACTAAAAATCTTCATTAAACAAGCGTAACAATTTTAATTTTGTTATACTTTGCTAATATTATATTCTTAAATCATGATTTTCTTGGTTATAATATACCTGGTACAAAACAGCCTGAACAACCGTGTACTGGCCTTGACCCCATGATTCCCCCTGTCGGGGCGGAGAAGAAATGCCAGGGATTGTACCACCTAACAAGCTCGTACACCTCTGGGCTGCCATACAAGATACTCAGCAGGCCGTCGGGGGTACCACATAGGTTCTCCTTCATCACCCGCCATGCAGCACCGCGGTCTGAACAGAAGAACCGCTGGGGCTTCACCTGTACCTAAATGTATACAAATAGGTCAAGACAGAAGTGGTGGGGTTTTACCTGTACCTAAATATAGACAACAGGTCAAAACAGGGCATTACCTGTACCTTAATATAGACAACAGGTCAAAACAGAAGTGGTGGGGCTTTACCTGTACCTTAATATAAACAACAGGTCAAAATAGAAGTGGTGGGGCTTTACTTGTACCTTAATATAAACAACAGGTCAAAATAGAAGTGGTGGGGCTTTACTTGTACCTTAATATAGACAACAGACCAAAACAGAAGCCTTGAGGCTCTACCTGTATCTAAATATAGCTGAACAACCTGACATTTGTATTCTTCATTTTCATTAAATTAATTAACATCATCAATTAAAACAAAATCCGAATTCTACTTACAAACAACTGATATTCCCTATTCCGTATCATATCCTTATGAAAAAGTGGGATTAAAACATATCTCTTCATTGTTAAATTATATACATGTATGAATTTCTCTTTGTAGTGGTTCTTACCTTAGAAATTGTGTAGTAGACAAACTTTGGTAGATCTGTCAGTACTGGTTCTTACCTTAGGAATTGTGTAGTAGACAAACTTTGGTAGGTCTGTTGGTTGGCACTGAAGGACTCGGCTTTCTCGTGGAATGTGACGATGGACAGGGAAATCTTCTAGGGACTGTACAGGGTTAGGATGCTGTTCAGTAATAAAATAAGTTAGGGTTAATGTAACAATGACAGGGAAATCTTCTAGGGACTGTACAGGGTAAGATGCTGTGATAAAAAGTTAGAGTTACTAGGATAATGTAATACTGAGAAAATCTTCTAGAGACTGTATAGGATTAGGATGCTGTTCAGTAACAAAAATAAGTTAGGGTTAAAGTGAGGATGGTCTGAGATACATGTATCTTCTAGGGACTGTGCAGGATTAGAACAATGTTTAAGTAGTCATTATTTCTTATAATTAAGGTCAGAATAGTTTTGCATGAAGTTTAAACACCTGCACCAAGGCAAGAAAGAGTTCTAACTCTACTTCAATGTCTGTGTTTTTGTACTTACAGCTTTAGTAGGACTGGAGGGTGAGCTTTTGAGAGGTTTGTGATTTCTCATGCGGATTCTGCGATGAGACGTCGTCTCTTTCATGTAGTGTAGAGTGCACGAATTAAATCCATAGAATGTGGAGGTAGGGCTGGTGAACACCAGATGTCGGAGGTTTCTACTCTCTGACAAATTACTGAAAGACGTTGTTCTAAGTGGGGTCAACAGCAAACTGTCATTCCTTAAAAACTGACTGCAAAAAAAAAAATACTGCTTTTCATTTGTAACTTAAAATATTCAAAGTAATCATTCAAAAAAAAAATTAATAAACTATTTAATATAAGTTTCTTTCATTGTTATTTTTAGGTGTTGATTACATGTACTGTACATTTTGAATTTTGCATGTAGTTTTACAATTAAACATTTTATTCATAAAGAGTAACAAATCTTAAAATGTTAGTTTTATATCTGTACATCACCTTTTGGGAACTTTACTCCAAGTGTGTGAATGGCGAATTTTTTCTTCTATCTTTCTTAAGAGGAAAACTCCCAACCACCTTCAAATAAATGTCAAATATAATTAAACACTATACAGCAAAACTCGGTTATAACGAAGTCACCAGGACCTATGAAATTACTTCGCTATATCCGTAATTTGTTATACCTGTATAAGAAATTCATTAAATTTATATAGCTGGGGATCCAAGATGACTTCACTATATCCGTGAATTCGCAATATCCGTGTTCGTACTAAATGAGTTTTACTGTAGTTAATTGGGTACATAAAATCAATCACCATCATTATGCAGGTACCTCCCCTGATTTTTCTCCATATATGAGTACACAATAAAGTGCCGTGCCACAGCATGATACACCCGTCAAAAAATTACAATTTTCTTGACAGTTTAGCGTGCAAATCACGTCAACCTTGATTCTATGATTTCCATGATTTTTCCATTCCTTAAAATATTTATCCATCCCCTGTGATGTAGGCATTAATCATTATAGATAATACATCATTGATAGATTTCTATGCTGGTTGTGTTAGACCTTGTCAAATGCCCATCATATTAAACAATATCAAATTAGTCTTAACACCTTAATCTATGCGCCAGGTGGTAACAATGCTAAAAAAAACTAGAACTGTCCAAACGGGACAAAATACCCCCCGCTGGATTTTTTCAGAAGTAAGTTTTTCCATAATAAAGATATGTATCACACATGATTTATATAATTTTTCTTCCAGTCACCTTGAACTTCCCCAAATGACCTTGGGTCAAGGTCATGACAAACCCTTGGGTCATAGGCAATCCTTGTATAGAATGAGAACCTACCAAGTTTATCCATAAAAAAGATGTAGACCGGACACGAATTATGAACTTTTTCTTCCAGTGACCTTGAACTTCCCCAAATGAACTTGGGTCAAGGTCAGGACACACCCTTGGGTCAAGGACAATCTTTGTGTGAAATGAGAACCTACCAAATTTATCCATAAGAAAGATATGGACCGGACACGAATTATGAACTTTTTCTTCCAGTGACCTTGAACTTCCTCAAGTGACCTTGGGTCAAGGTCATGACACACCCTTGGGTCATGGGCAATCTTTGCATGAAATGTGAACCTACCAAGTTTATCCATAAAAAGATGTAGACCGGACACGAATTATGAAATTTTTATTCCAGTGACCTTGAACTTCCCCGAATGACCTTGGCTCAAGGACATGACACACCCTTGGGTCATGGGCAATCTTTGTGTGAAATGAGAACCTACCAAGTTTATCCATAAGAAAGATATGGACCAGACATGAATTATGAACTTTTTCTTCCAGTGACCTTGAACTTCCCCAAATGACCTTGGGTCAAGGTCATGAGACACTCTTAGGTCATGGGCAATCTTTGTGTGGAGTAGTAGATTCTAATGTCCCTCCGTAAGAAAGATATGGACGGGACACGTTTGCACAGACAGACGGACAGACAGACAGACGGACAGACAGCTGGACAGCTGGACAGACAGACGGACAGACGGACAAGGTGATTCCTATATACCCCTCCAAACTTCGTTTGCGGGGGGTATAACTATTTTGAGAAGATAAGTCACAGTCAATGTCACAAAGTCATGACCTTGGTGTCATTTTAAAGAACTTCATTAGTGGAGTATGTATACCAAATATGAAGTCTCTATCTCATGTTTCAAAAGTAATGACGAAAGTTCTAAAATGCTATTTTTAGCATATAGATCATAGTCAAGGTCACAAGGTCATTGACCTTGGTGTCATTTGAAAGACCTTCATTGGTGAAGTATGCATACCAAATATGAAGTTTCTATCTCTCATGGTTCAAAAGTCATGGTGAAAGTTCGAAAATGCTATTTATAGCATATTGGTCACAGTCAAGGTCATTGACCTTGGTGTCATTTGAAAGACCTTTATTGGTGAAGTATGCATACCAAATATGAAGTCTCTATCTCTCATGGTTCAAAGGTTATGGCGAAGGTTAAAGTTGACAGACAGACAAACAGACAAACAGATAAACAAACAGACAGGACAAAAAAAATATACGCCTCGGATCTATCGATCCGGGTGCATAAAAAGGCTGGCCATCAAATGACATATGCTATAAACTGACCAGCAGTTCTTCTGTCTAATCCCCAAAGGATATAGATAAGACTGCTTGATCAGATAGCCTTCCTACATTGAACCAGGGTTCGACACTAACGGTAGACCGGCGGCCCGAGTCCACCAAAAAATTGGAAGGTCCACCAAATGTTCTGGACTAGGTGGACCGTCGGTCCACTTAAAATTTAAACACTGTTTTAAAATAAACAGCAAAATTTCGGGTTTTTTCTTCTTTAAATTGTAATCTCAAATTATTAAGTCCTCTAAACATGTACCTGTATTTTACAAAAAAAAAATATATATAAAATGTGTTTTAGGTGATCCAAGAAACCTAGTAAGTAGATATATATTTTACATGTAAAATTGATGACTCCAATAAAATTGAGATGTTAGAACATTCAACAAGGACCTTGAAAAAGAAGCATGTAAAATTCGTGCCAAATTAGCCAGTCTCTCCTCTGTTTACGTAATGCACAGAAAGGTGTGAAAATTACACTTGGTAACAGGAAATCGCTTCACGCCTGAACGCACACTGTGGACCAGGTTTGGAGATAATTAGAATTGATTGACAGCTGCATTTATTTCTGCATTGTTTTTTTTTTTTGTTTATAGATATTCAAACAACCGTGATTTACGTACATTTTATAAACACGGAATCTGCAGTTTCTGTTTTTTCCATTATATCACATAAAAGAAACAAAAGATCACTGTTTTAATATCTGAAAAAATAATAATTTGAAAAAAATAAATAATAAATACATATACATGTACTTATGCCAGTTTTGCATTGCTGTAAAAAATGTTTTAGTCAATATAAGATATATGAAAAATTAACTTGTTTTAATGAACAACTTATATGTAATTAATAATTGGAATTTTAAATTTTATATACATCTGGAAGCAAAATAAATGCAGGTTTTTACCAATGTAATTTAATAATACAAAAATATTTTTAGATTTGTAGATTTATACTTTTTTTTTTTAGTTTTACAATATTGCTGCAAAAATTCTGACTAATGGATTTGTTTCTGTTGAATGGTTAAACTTATCCTTTATAAGTCTGACTGGAATCGGTAGTTTCAAGCTTTGTGTAATGATTCATTCATTAATTCAAACATTTATGAAGGTCCACTCGATTTTGAGAAGGTCCACCAATAATTTTTGACAAGTGGACCTGCGGTCCACCAAGGTAAAAAAGTTAGTGTCGAACCCTGTGAACTCATTAATTAATCTTTAACTGGATGCTTGTCTACTCATTACTACCAAGAGATGAATGGGTCTGCACTATCTACCATAAAATTTTTTTCTAAACATAAAATACTCACAGATTTTTTTGGTTGAGATTTAATGTCCGACAGGTTTCAATATGTAATTCATATGGACAATGGACGTGCTGATTCCACCCCACCCCATAAAATTAGTTTTTAAAATTAATAATATTATATAATATCAGATTATTCTATTATTCAATATCAAACTAAAACTGTCCAAACGGGACAAAATACCCCCCGCTGGGTTTTTCAGAAGTAAGTTCTTCCATAATAAAGATATGTATCAAACACGAATTATGAAATTTTTATTCCATTGACCTTGAACTTCTCCAAATTACCTTGGGTCAAGGTCATGACACATCCTTGGGTCATGGGCAATCTTTGTGTGAAATGCGAACCTACTAAGTTTATCCATAAGAAAGATATGGACCATACACGAATTATGAAATTTTTCTTCCAGTGACCTTGAACTTTCCCAAATGACCTTGGGTCAAGGTCATGACACACCCTTTGGTCATGGGCAATCTTTGTATGAAATGAAAACGTACCAAGTTTATCCATAAGAAAGATATGGACCGGACAGGAATTATGAAATTTTTCTGCCAGTGACCTTGAACTTTCCCAAATGACCTTGGGTTAAGGTCACGACACATCCATGGGTCATGGGCAATCTTTGTGTGAAATGAGAACCTACCAAGTTTATCCATAAAATATATGTATCAAACATGATTTATGAAATTTTTCTTCCAGTGATCTTCAACTTCCCCAAATGACCTTGGGTCAAGGTCATGACACACCCTTGGGTTATGGGCAATCTTTGTGTGAAATGAGAACCTACCAAGTTTATCCATAAGAAAGATATGGACCATACACGAATTATGAAATTTTTCTTCCAGTGACCTTGAACTTCCCCAAATGACCTTGGGTCAAGGTCATGACACACCCTTAGGTCATGAGCAATTTTAGTGTGGAGTAGAAGATTTTAATGTCCCTCTGTAAGAAAGATATGGACCGGCCACGTTTGCACAGACAGACGGACGGACAGATGGACGGACGGACGGACAGACGGACGGACCGACAGACGGACAAGGTGATTCCTATATACCCCCCAAACTTCGTTTGTGGGGGGTATAATTAGTTTTAATTACTTTTCATCAAATTCATTTTAGGCTAGCCAACAAGAGCTATTTTTAATCCAACAGGCTTACCCATTTGCCCAATGATAAACCCATGCTCTACCAGTCAGCTCCTCACACTAAACTCATTAAGTTCTCTCTAATTTGACATGCAATTTTCTGTTATCAAAATTCTTCTTGACCAGTGCTTGATAATTACACTCATGGGAGAGGTAGGGTTTCTCTAACATACATTATGTTTGTTATAGATTGCTGTCAAGTATATATGCTTAAAAAAATAAGTACATGTATTTTCATTATTTAACACTTTTTTAATAAGGACAGTGCAACACTCATACATTATTTGGGATGTGAAAATGAATAGTAATAAGAGACATTTTTTTTAAAATTTCACTTAAATTAAAGGTCTCAGTGACCTTGAAATAGGTGGCGACACACCTTCTACCTAAGATGAATAAACTAGCCAAGTTTAATGATTGTAAGTCATACAGTTTTCTAGTTATGGGCCGGAAAGGATTTTTCCATATTTGGCTATAACTTCTTAATTAAAGGTCAGAGCGACCTACTTATTGTGCGCGACACACCTTCTACCCAAGATGCATCAGATGACAAAGCTAACAGACAGACAGACGTACAGATGGATGGACATGAAGCCTATAACATAATACTTCCCGTCTTAAGATGGGCGTATAAAATATACTTAATACATTCCAGTTAACTACTCTATTTTCTGTATCAGTATAATAAGGCAGCTAAGTACATGTTCATAATTGAGGGAATCAACAAAATTCCAGTTCCCCAAAAACAAGCTTTTTCCCCTCTATTTTGCCTCAGGAAATACTGTAAACCTGCTATATCTGGTGGTGTATTCTTTTTAGCAAATATGGCTGAAAGCAGAATCCGCTAAATAAAGTACATCACTTAGTGTCTTGTTTATCATATGTCTACATCTAGCACATTCAAATAGTGCTACATCAAATCTACACTAATTTGCTTAAAAACTAATTTTTGTCAAATATTGTACAAGCCAAATATAATACATTTACAGTTCTAAATAGATATGCTTCGTGGAACTGGAATCTTGCCAACTACCTTACTGATATACTTTAACTGTATACATTCCAACATGAGGACAAAAATCATATGAAATGCTATAACAAAAAATGATCTGATACATTGTCCTCAATCTCACCTGACCAGAAGTCCACCAAACATGTAGTCTAACATCTCCTTGGGAGACAATTTTACGAATCTGGTGAAGGAGAAACATCGATACGATGACTCATCTACAAAAACAAAGATTAAATTTTGTCATTATCTGTTCCATTGGTTTAAAGCATATTTCTTTTAAGAAACATGAAATCTTTTCAGTTTAAGACAAAAATAGTCTTTTTTAGTTTATGGAAAACTGTAAAATACCTGAGAAAATAGATGAATGGACATTTTCAGGAGAGAAAATGTAGAACATACTGAACAAGATCCTCTGAAAACTTTGTGTCATGGTTTCATAGAGACCTGTCATAAAATAGAACATATCTTTCTGATCACTAAGATGGTATTCAAATGTTGACTTTTTAAATACAAAATGAAGCAATTCTAAAAAAGATTTTTATAAAAGAGAAAGTTTTTAACCCTTACCTTCCTGATAAATTAGTTTTGGCATATGATATGCTTCAGTCCTCATAAAAAATGGTGACTTTATCTCCCGCCTTTCAAAGAGTTCTGAATGGTTGCAAACCTGATTTAAAATGGCAGAAAACACATTGCTGTTAATTAAACTACACATATTAAATTATTAGAGACCAGCCTTTACCTATGATATTTAATTGTATAGTTTGTGTATGGCTACCTTTCTGAACTGCATGACTAGATTCATTAGGCTATGATATTTAATGGTATAGTTTGAGAATGGCTACCTTTCTGAACTGCATGACTAGATTCATGAGGCTGGAGGTAGAACTCTGGGACTGTGTTGTGTTCCCGGACGTCCCCTGTAATATGTCTTCTATTGAGATCTTGTTCTTCACGGCCTGATACAGCATCTTCTGTCTCGTGGTAAGTGGGCAGTACACCAAAATCTCAATCTGAAAAAAAAAAATTGTTTATTAGAGGTCAAACCAGAAGTCTGTGTAGTCAGCGAAAACAGAGCTTAACTTTCTCAGACACACATTATTTGTATTTCATTTTCAGGTCCTTATCCTCACAAAATAAAGCAAACAAGAAATTTGTGCCAAGATTTGTAGTTTGCCTTACTTACTGAACTTTTAGGACTTCTTATATATACATGTAATAAACAAACATATGTAGAAAACAAAAATTAATCCCATGGGGAAAGCTTGGGGGTTACTGTTTAAAATATAAAGAATTTTTATCAAGAAGACTTACTTTGTCAGAGAGCTCGTTCTCCACATCTTTCTTCACTCTCCGTAACATGAAAGGCTTTAGGATCATGTGAAGTCGACTCAACTGGTCTGTAAGGACAGAATCAACAGTATAAAATCTTAATATAATACACACAAACATAAACATATCAATCAGTGTAGAATCTTCGTATAATACAAACAAACATTAACATGAAAGGCTTTAGGATCATGTGGAGTCGACTCAACTGGTCTGTAAGGACAGAATCAACAGTATAAAATTCAAATTTACAGAAATGTGTATAGATTAACCAATCATCATAAAATAACATGAACAATATCTCCAGTCAGTCTAGATCAATTTTGAACATCACTGTAACTTACTTTCATCAATTCCTGACTGTTTTTCTGCATGACTTTCGATGTCTTTAGAAAACCATTCGTTGAATTCATCATGAGAGTCAAACATAGTGGGCATAATAAAATGAAGCAAAGCCCACAGCTGAAGAGATAAAATGATATTTTTTAAAAATACACAGATGTAACATGATACTGATGCAACTGATAAAGATTATTTTTAAATATACAATGTATTTTTCAACTTCAATATTTTGCTAAACAGACCTCAGCCATGCTGTTTTGAATGGGAGTACCAGTAAGTAGCAATCTGTTTCGACAGTTAAATCCAAGAAGAATTTTCCATCGAACACTGCAAAATGAATATCAGTTGTTTACATAAAGGAATTTTGATAAAAAAAAAAAATTGAGTATTACTATAATCTATAGACAAGTTTAGAATACTGAATGCTTACAAATTTCTCTATACAAAAAGAAAAATTGGAGAATTTCATCAAAAAGTGTTGTTTACACATTCAAATTATTCCTTCTACCAAGGAATTGTTCATACTAAGACATGGTGAACTTTGATTTTACCTGCTGCTGCTTTTGATGGCCTGTGCTTCGTCCAGTATCATGTACTGCCACTTGATCCTCTGGAAGTACTTGACGTCCTGGATGACCAGCTGGTAGCTGGTGATGACCACATGAAAGGAAGCCTCTTCTGTGTGTAGACACTTCTGATCCCAGAACTTCCTCAGAATCCGCCGGTCCTGGGTGTTACCCCAGTAAGGCACGATCTGTAAACACAAATTAACAGTATCAGTTAACAAAATCTGTCCATACAAAACAACAGAATCAGTAAACAGAATCCGCCGGTCCTGGGTGTTACCCCAGTAAGGCACAATCTGTCCATACAAAACAGATTCAGTAAATATAATCAGTAAACAGTAAGGTAAGATCTGTTCATACAAAACAACAGAGTCAGTAAATATCCATACAAAACAACAGGATCAGTAAATATCCATACAAAACAACAATCAGTAAACATCTATACAAAACAACAGAATCAGTAAACAGAATCCACTGGACCTGGGTGTTACCCCAGTAAGGTATGATCTGTCCATATGAAACAAGACAATCAGTATACTAAATGAATGATATACAATATTTAAACTAAAGGCTAAATAGTCAAAAATTGCAGTTAAAAATTTTTTTTTCCTTTGATAAAACTTCAGGTAAGGTAAATATTCACCCTAAAGACACTAACAGCAATCATTTAAATACCATACATCCGTTTATTTTCGCGTGTTGGAAATTTTGCGAAAAAGAGGTAGATTAGTACAGTTTAGATTTTGTGTAAGTTATTTTTTACAATTGAAGATTTTTTTTCCTTAAAATGGTAATGTTTTTATGTCACATTATAACTACTGACATAATTTCTGTGTGTTTTATATTTTGCGAATTAAAAATGGTCGCAAAAAATGCGAAAATTTGATCATCGCGAAAAAAAAACGGATATACGGTATTCAAGTGTAAGACAGCTGAATAATTCCATTTCCCACCAATATAAATGTTCTGCTACAAAAGAACCCACCTTGAATCTTGGGACAAATCTAGCACACTCCTGCTGCCAGTTGTGTAGTGTTGACGCTGGAGCGATGACAAGAAAAGGCCCCCAGATCCCCTGAGCCTGTGAAAAAAATAAAACACAAACATAAGATATTCTAGCTCTAAATAATCTGATAATATAATGAGCTTTGTTGACCAGATAAAGCCTAACCTCTGCTAGGTGAGCCAGGAATGCCATGCTCTGGACTGTTTTACCCAAACCCATCTCATCAGCCAGGATCCCGTTAATTCCCTGGTCATACAGATTGGCCAGCCAATTCATTCCCTGTTGATCAATTAATACAACATACAGAGCTCCAGATAATCTTTAACCCCAAAGTGTATTTACTGTATATACTTGCCTATAAGTCCGTTGTATTTTTTGACGATATTCTGGTGGGATTTGCCATTGACCTGCTTATAAGTCGGTACAGTTTTTTGCTAAAATTGGGTGACAATTTCAAGTAAATCCTTGATGTTTTAACCTTGTTTCAATTAATATTTTTATCAATAACACCGATATATAATCTTAACTCATTTAACAGATAGGAAATACTCATTTAAGATACAAATAAAATTTTTAAAATATGTAAATACTTGTTTTTTATGTATAATCTAAGAAAACATAGATTATCATACATATCCAGACATTTACTTCGACAATCGTCATAAATACAAATGAAATACTACATTTCAGCGTCAAGAAAAATACCTATCTCTCTATGACTCGCCTATAAGTCGGACATAGAGTTTAAGACCAAAATTGAACTCCCAAAAAACCGACTTATAGGCGAGTATATACGGTACTCTCTGATTTTCAAATCAATGCAGATTTTGATTTTCAGCAAAATGATTGAAGAGTAATTTGTTTATATATGAATGTTTTGACCTTTATTTTGAGCTTGTAATCGAAGTATGTGTTTTTGAAGAAGGAAAAAACTCCAAAGGTCAGTTCCTGCATTTATTTAAATAAATTTTGCAAACAGCAGCAAGACTTTTTGCTAAGATTGGGAAGCATTCTTTTTTGACAAGGATGATTATACAGTAGGTCAAGGTACCTTAGAGTCAGAGACACAGAAAACTTTTTGTTCATTTAAGATATCGTATCAAGAGTAAACTGAGAGAAAAGAATCTTCGTTAATATGGCAAGTTGAGATAGATGAAAAATTGGCTATGAACTCATAATAGAAAAAAAAGTTATGCCAAGTGCATAGTCCTTCTACATAGAAATTGAATTTAATCTAATTAATCTCCGATTTTCCCTCCTGAAATGTAGATCGTCGTCGTCATTACTAGAATATTCCTGGTCACTCAAAGGCTTTTAAATCTGTTCTTCGTTTTGAGAAAAATTAAACACCGAGTTAACCTCAATTCATATCATTAAGTAAGTCGTACATGTATTCTTCAACTTGCTGTACGCAGTACTTTCATGGTGTAATGCGTATCTATGATTGCTAATGCGTAATTGTATGGTCTATTTTAATTTTCAATGCGTATTTCGTAAAATTTAATGCGTATTTCTGCAAATACCCACCTTATCTGTAGCTCTGAACATAAACATACATCACTAAACAAGCCAATATAAAAATTTATGAACATGCCTTATGTTTCAGAATCCTTTATATTAAGCAAATATAGTTAAGCCCTCATGAAAAAGTTTTACAAAAAGTTTTGGTTTTAACATTCAATTATCAGACTGAAATGTACTCATGGTTATCCTCTCACAATTTGTGACATACAGTATATATAATAAATAGAAAAGCCCTGTTACCTTAAGTTGGTAAGCCTTCAGCGTTCCTTCAAACATACTGGGCTGGGGTCTCTCAGCATCCGTGCTTATTGAGGGGTTGGCCAGATTTAATCCGTACTCATCAAACTGTTGTGTCTGTCAAACAATACCATTACTTAACAGAGGTTATCAGGATTAAAAAGTGCACACTAATTGTTTAAAAAGCTAGTTAAAAATTGGGCTGTATTTTTCCTACTCAGACAGACCTTTGTTTGGTGTTTGTCATAGGCTTCCTGGGCATTCTTCAGAGCCAATGACTTCATTCGTTCACTGTCTAAAACACACAAAAAAATCTTATCTCAAAGATTAGTATATTTCATTCATATAAACTTTAAAATGATAGATGTTTTTGTGCTAAGGTTAACAAACTATAAATTACATGTCATTTTTGCAGGATATGAACGTTCTAAGACTAATCTACTTGATGACTTTCAGATTTTGAGTTTACCGTAGTCGTCCACCGCGACGTCGACCAGTACCCGCCCCTCCACCTCCAGCTGATTCTGAGATTTATCCTCCTCTAACTTCCCCAGGATGTCATTCTTCACCGACTCTGATTCCCCCGTCAGTTTTCTGGCCATGAAATGAGCATACAACTCTGTTTGTGTGATCAGGAAATTCAACTTCCTCTGCTGTCTTTTGGCCTGCAAGACAAATAAAATACATACTGATGTGATTACATGTCAACAGAGCGCAGTGAAAGTAATTTTATATTTTAAAACTTTTTTTCATCGCATACCTCTCGTAACTCCAGGTCCATTTTGCGCTGTTCCTGTGCCTCTTTCTCTGCCTTTTTACGGATGTCCTTTTCTACTTTCTCAAAGCGTTTCCAGTAACTGACCATTTCACGACTCAGCCTCTTCGCCCGGGCTGTACAGTCCTTGCTCATTTTTTGAGAATAGATGGCTGCCTTTCTACACTCCCTCATGCTCTGCTGGGACATCTGAAAGACACGTGTTCACCTTGATCAATTCACCTTTATTTGATCAATGTCCTGAAATTGTAAATTGCTATTTACCATGTATTTGACTTTTCTACCTCAGTGTCCAATAGGAGTCACTCTTGTAAAATTTGTCAAAACTTGACCTACAAAGTTCATTCTGACTTTTTTCTAGGGGTGGAACACACATCTTGCGATACGATACGTATTTCGATATATTGGCACGATACGATACGTATCTCGATATTATGAGAAATTATAAAAATATTCAAAAGAATTAGTATTTTATTTCTTTTTTTTGTCTTGACATTAAATCAACAAATTATTCTATATCAAATCATGTTACTTTGCTTTGAAATTAATACTTGAAGTTCATCAATTTCATTGACTAAAACTTTACAAAAACAATAATACATGTACATACTATTATTACCAAATTACTATTCAGAAATTGTGTACAAATAGTTGTGTAGTTTATCAGGGAACACTGACTAAAAATTCATTTAAAAAACATTGATCACATTTACATTTTTCTTAATTCATTGCTGAAAGTCTGTAGCCAAGTTGAGATTACAAAAAAAGTACAAGATGGACTAAAAATTAACAATATCAAATGTTCTGGAAACGATATTTTCTGTGTATACTATAGCACGCATTACATACTGAACTTTTCTTGTACAATCTTCCGACCAATCTTCCGAGGCTGCTAAAAATGAAAGCGTTTTACCCCTAACCAACAACTTATTAGTTCTAAAGTGTGTTTTCAATATCAACATCATCTCTTCGCTCGAACAAGCCGCCATTTTCCAAGGACAGGTACTTTCATTTTCAATTTTTGGATAGGTCGTTCGTGTATCGTTTCGTACCGATATTTGATTGCTTGTATCGTAAACCGTATCTTGGAGGAAAATATCGATATGTATCGGTGTATCGGTATATCGTCCCACCCCTACTTTTTTCAGAAACACATTTTGATAATTAAATACTCTAGTAAGATAACATTAGCTGTCTCTAGTTATATGTATGTATGTAAAATTATACTGCTTATTACATTCTTTCATGGACACAAACCTTTTTCAAGGACTGCAGTACTTCCTTTCTTGCTGAAACTTTCTGTTTCTGTGCCTGTAAATACATAGAGAACATAAGACAAGAGTTTCACAGGCCTTATCAATCAGGTAAGTTATTTCCTTTAAAAATAATTTTGTATTAGCCTACTTTAGGGATTTCCTTTTTGGCTATTGAGATCCAGAGTCTTTTCCTTTTGACATCGGCTTGCTCTGGAGTCAGCTTCTTGCCTTTCCCTGCCTTAGCTGCCTGGTTTTTCTTGTGAGCTAAGTAGGCCTCCACAATAGAGGGGTCAATTTCTTCCATCTCCTTATTCAGGAAAGAATCATACTGTAAATCACTTTTTATTAGCAAGAGACAGTGTGCTCGCGAAAAATTATTTCTCGCGTATAATAGTATTCCTTAAGATTATATAGAGCAATAACCACAATTCGTGAAAATTTTGTCTCGCTAATCAAGAGTCAATGGTTATCTCGCGAAAATAAGGTGTCACGAAAATTTAGTGATCTACAGTATTTAAAATATAACTTCACTTTTAAGTACTCCTTCAAGTTTTCCTTATTTTTTTTTTTTGTATTCTTTTTATAACTTTCCTTGTATCATTGACACATTTAATACATACCCCATCATCGTCCCCATTCTGATGGTGTTTCTTCTTTTTCATTTCTTTTAATTTATCTGTAAAATATTTCCTCGTTGTTAGGTTTCATAGATATTTGCATTTGTGTGACCAATATGAAAAGAATATGAACATTTTGTTTGTTCTGAAATATGACAATTCTGTTTAGATCTTGCCTTTGATTCTCTTTTCCTTCTTTTTGTGGTCTTTAGAAATCTTTTTCTTGGGTCCTAGGACTGCTTTCTGGTGTTCATGATATTTATCGTAGTTTGACAGTAGTCCTGTACTGTAGTACTGATACTGGTGTAGCTAAAACACAAAACATATTAACAAGAAAGGCTCTCCAAATAATATTTTGTGTAGCAGGAACACAAAACATATTAACAAGAAAGGCTCTCTAAATAACATTACATGTAAAACTCTTTTTTTCCAGTGTAGAGTTACTATCATTACAATTGATGACTTTTAGTTTTTTTTTTCACTTGTACAAGGGAAACATAAAATTTTGTGTATAATATACATAAATAATGAACTTGCTGTGTGTGACAGAATACCTCTGGATCTTGGTAGAAGCGCATCTGATGCTTCCTCTGGTATTTGTGGATTTTCAGCATGTACTGTAAATCTTCCTCTGTGATAGGTTTATCTTCATCCTCGTCTGATGAGCTGTCACTCAATAGAATATTCTGAAATCCAGTCAATTTTGTTTATGATTTAAAGCAATTGTGTTGCCTAATACAAATAATTTAAAGGCTTTAAAACTTTCATCACAAAATTCTGCATTAGATTTACAACATATATTTGATCAAAAGTTTTGAAATCTTAGAGAATTCTTATCTTTACCTTGAGCCATTTCCTTCCTTTCTTTGCTTTACTAAAATTATATAGCCTTGTCTTGTCAGCTTTTCTCTCTGAAAATCATGCAAAACTTAAAGCATATACTAGAAATCCTTTTATTTTGTTGGACTTCATTTTCACAAGAGCAATTCAGTTATGCTATCTATACATACTTGCATGCATTAAAAGAAAGTCTTCATGTTCGTATTTTTCTCAACTTAATTTCTTTTTACAACAAAGTCACAAAAATACTAGAATATATAGTTCTTGCAAACAAATTGTGATTTACAGAAAGATTTGATGAACAATTAATCATGGAAAACTTTTTAAATGATGCTCAACAGATATTTATGTAGAGGTTGTTATTAATGTTAAAATGCCTAGGATAGAAACTGCTGAATGACATTACCTGCTTTTGTGATTGTTATTCCATTCAGAATTTTATTGTCATCATCATCGCGTAAACAAGGCTGAAGAAAATCAAACTCGCTATCCGTGCTATCATCATTGCTGTGAAAAGAAAATCATTTTTGTCCGATATTAGTCCGTCTAAATCCCAAATAAATGTCTATAAAACATACTGCACACACACACACATAAATTGTAAACATGTTTTCCTAAGGAAAAGGTTACAGAAATGAAAGATAAAGAAAATACTGCATTCAGAAATTCTAAACACTTCTTAAAATGTACTTGTTTATTTAAATGTAATATTTTGGCATTAAAACATTTTCATAATGTTTGACATGCTTGAAGTACTAACTTGCTGTCAAAGAGTAATAAAGATTCATATTAACCAGGTCCAGTCCAAAGACTATTTCTACCTACGTAGCTATTAATAGCTACCTAGGTATTTAAAGCTACCCAAAGTAGCTATTTTTACCTACTTCATATAATTTCTGCATTTTGCGACAAAGACAAACACGGCGCAACATGGTAAATATATTTTTTGATATGGTCACACTAATGATGAATACGACAAAAATTTTGCCTAAACATGATTACTTCAAAGTGAAAGTAGTTTTAATACAATCGGCAATTTTACATTCTGCCGTTGGTAGACAAAAGTTTCTATGCAAAATTGATAATATACGAAGTTTTCATTTTTTGGCCAAATTTTTGTCATATTCATCATCAGTGTGACTGTTAGTGTGTGTGTACCATGTTGCGCACGCTAGAATTTGGCTACAAAATGCAACAAGCAGAAAGTAGGTAAAAATAGCTGGATTTACAATGATATAAATACCATTTTTAGCTATTAATACCTACGTAGCCAAAATCAGTCATAAAAATCATATCAAACACTGTATAACTGGTAATTTTACCGGTACCTGACTGGTTCTTTGACCAGGTTTTCCACGTAAGAGAGAAGTGGTTCTAATCTGAGGGCATGCTCTAACTGCTGGAAGTGAACCGGTTCCGCAAGCTGCTGTCCATAATCATGATCCATCACTGCAGACATAACTAATTACACACCGCTTAAAACCTGTAAATATATTAAATTTCCTCATTTGCAAAATGAATTTTTTACTCCATTCACTTTTTAAGTAAATTCCCTGTTCTAACACCATGAATGCATTAAATATCAAAGTGAAAGTAGTTTTAATACAATGTGTCTCCAATGAGTCACACTAGATTTTGCAGATTTGCTACGTTATTTATTACATTGTTTTTTTTTTCAATTAATTCATCAAATTCTTTTAATTCTTCCAGAAAAAAGATTTTTTTTTCTTCAAAGACGAAATAAAGCTAAAATATATTTCTATTAGACCTAATTTATTATCTTTCCTCCCCACCTTACAGTTTCAAAGTCAGATCCACCCCTGAAACTTTCCCTAGATTGCTGATTCTCTAAAACAATCACAATGTTCTGTTAACTATATAAGTACATGTGTCTCCGATTGTAACAAGAAAAATTCATAGCATTTTGTAGATCTACCACTGACTGTCCTCCAACACCGTTTAACATTCACGGCCTCCCCCCTTCTTCATCACTAATCACACGTGCGTCGCTTACCTTTATTTTTGCTCTTTAGCAGACGAAAGAGCACCGGCGTTGAAATTCTACGCGACAGAAAATGTCATTCTTCGTATCAAAAAACATCTTTCCTTACATTGCCTATTATCTTAAAACCTCGACAAATATGGCGGCTTTCGTGCTTTACAGAGAGGCAATGGCTGGTCGGCGTCGCAAAACATTGCTCGGCTCATGACTGCCAATGCGCTTCGCGGGGGGTCCAACGCCATTCGTGTTTTTGTTTAGTGTAAATTTTCGATTTCTTTATTTTGCTTTTGTTTAGAATTTTGGGGTCTGTTTTTAATCATGTTAATTGAAATGATCTTCAATTTGTTTTTAAACCCGATTAAAAAAATTAAGATATAATAAATATGGAATCGTTAAAAAAGATTTTGAAAGTTTTATCCGGTCTTTTCCGGAAATTTGTAAGTGCGCGGAACCGGTGTCCGAAGCTGTATCCTACAACCAGGGAGCGTAGAGGCGCGGCTGCAATATGAAAGTATGTAGTTTCCCCTATATCATAAAAAAAAATTCCTAAATGATATGGTTCAAAGAATGTTTGAACTCATTAACATGTACATCAGGTATGGTGTTTAAAATATTCTAAAGGGCATTAGGACAGACGAGACGTTCCTTAATTATTATATAATTTTTTCCAAGACTTTGTCATTGAGCAAACAATACTATAAGATGTTTACTCACACAAAAATTAAATACCTTACCAGGCATTTTTGCGAGATACCAGCTGATGGCATTTCTTATATAATCCTTTAGGGGGAAAACTATTTTTCCAAAATCACATTTTAAGTGTTTCAAAATTTTAAAAACAATTAGAAACAGGTTTAGAAATCAGAAAGTAATTAAAATTTTGTATATTTTTCATAAATTATGAAGATATACAAAACAGAAATTCGGGGAACGTATCGTCTGACCTTAAAATAAATCAAGAAACACCTTGCAAATGAAAATAAAAAATTTTGATTGAATTTTTTTATTACTGCCATCGGGTTTACAGGTGTGTGAAAAGTTTGTCAATATATCGTGTCCAGAGACATATAATATTATGGTTTTATATGTCATTGCATGCACGTAGCAACAGGGGTGGGCGGGGGGGTAAAAAAAATTGGGCAACTTTCTCCTTTACTTTCCTCCTTTTTTTTCAGGTGAGTAAAAAAATTCTCTGCCCCCCTTTCTAAATCGATGCTACGTGGCTGCATTGGTCGGGTCTCAATAGCTCTATGATAAGAGCGTTGGTATGGTTCTCTAGAGGCCCTGGGTTCAAGTCTTGATTGAGACTTGCATTTTCATTTCGGCTTCAGGGGGCCGACTTGGGTTTTATTGCGTGAAAACTACAATAGCCACCGGTTAGAACGGCGCATTCGGGGTGGCGGTGGGGCGTGAATCGGGGTGGCGGCACCGAAGCGAGAAAAACATCATCAAGGTGTGTTTACCTGATTTTTTTTCATATGTTCAGACGTCTTAGATTAGAAAATTGTATGCTACGGAAGAGAACAAATATCAACGTACCTCTGACTGTTTAAACAGCCTTTGAGAGTGCTCCGTTTTCTCAAACACTCCTCCTCACTTTTCGGGGTATCAACGTTTTCGACTTCTGACATGATATTCTGTTTCAAAATTGACCTCAAAGGGGTTTTTTCCTCAAATCATCAACAGTAATGAAGTTGTACGATAGAATTTAACTTCAGTCCTACTTTAAAAGTCAATATATGTTATTAATTAAGCCAATTTAGGCTTCAAACTCTATGCGACAATCGGGGTGGCGGTTTTTATGCCTTGCGGGGTGGCAGCATGTCCGAGAAATAAGGATTATTTTTTCATTCAGCGTTCTCCTGGCCCCTTGCGAGACAAAAAAAGATTCAGATCTCTTAGAGAAATTTAGATTATGGCATGGCATGATGTTATTTCGCTATAAATGTGCCTATGTTAAACTTTAAGAAGTATTTTTATAATTTAAAGTCCGAACTGAACAAGAAATTAACACTTTATCATGATCAGTGCGTATTGCTTTATACATGCAGTTGCTACATTAAAGTTTTGAACAAAATTCCAAGTTAAGCAGTATAAACCACTATACATTATAAGAGAGAGGTATTTTTGTGGAGCGATTGTTTTGGGATTTTTTACGATTTTTACCTATTGCATGATGAATAACTATAAACAATTTAGTAATTCATTTATGAAGGAAGATTTAATATCGGGGGGGGGGGGATTCTGTTCACACTGTGGTCCATAATTTTGCGACAAATTTTATCAGTTTCATTTCTTCAAAAGAAAACTCGAATTTATGTATTCTTGCAGGGATGTCAATCTTGAACTATCTTGAATTATCACTGTCCATTTCGGTTCTGGTTGTCCAGGATAAGATTTGATAGTAATGCTTTGATTGGCTCATGATGTTTTTCTAGGAATATTTTCCAGCAAACCTTGCTTCATTGAGAAATATCTGTAGATAATTTAAAAGATTGTATTTTTAAAAAAAAATGCCAAATGTCTTGTACAAAACGAGTGATCTGATTATATTGTTGGAGTGCCCATGATCTGATCTGCGACTGGCAAAAAGATAAGACAAAAATAGTAAACTTCAAAGAATAATAAACACGAAAAGAAAAAATGGTACAAAACGACTATGGTTTGTTATATTGATGTGTTGTTACACCACTAGGTTAGTGAAAACTTAAAAGTTTAATGGAAATCATGTTATTTCAAATTATATTTATCCCTGAACATTTTTCTTGTCCCATGTTAAGGGGGAAGGGGGTGGGGACTCAAGGACGTTTTTTACTCCACCACATACATAATTATGTATGTTACTTGTCTTGTAGAGTAGGCTTTCCCCCCTAAATATCCCCCCCGGAAAACTGGCTCTTCAGTAGACTTTCCCGCGGAAAGCTGGCTCTAGAGTAGAATTTCCCCTACGGAAATCCCACACCAGAGTCAATTTTCGGGGGGGGGGGTCCTAATCTGTATAGTAGATATAGAGTTTGATTTCCTCAGATTCAATTCCCCCCCACCCCCCCCCCACCCCCCCCGATGAAATACTGTAGATCACTTAATTTTCGCAACACCTTATTTTCGCGAGATGGTCATTGACCCTTGAAAAGCGAGACCAAATTTTCACGAATTGTGGTCCTTGCTCTATAATATCCTTAGAAATACTATACGCGATAATTAAATTTTCGCGAGCACACCGTCTCGCGTAATTACGCGAAAATAAAGTTCTCGCGAATAAAAAGTGATTTACAGTATAATTAGAGGACAGATGATACAAACAAACCTTGAAAATTACAATTTATGTACTACTTAAATCACTTTTTATTCGCTAGAACTTTATTTTCGAGTAATTACGCGAGACAGTGTGCTCGCGAAAATTTGATTCTCGCGTATAATAGTATATTCTATTTTTTCGGTTACAGTGTATTCAAAGAAGGGTGAGTTGTGCATGGGGTTTTGAAAAAGAAAATGGTACTGAAAGAATATTAATCTATCTTAACACCTCCCCCAAGAAACAGGATTTAGCGTTTGAATAATTTTTTTCTTTTGCTTGTCAATTTTTTTCCAGGTTTGAATTTTGTTCTCTTTCAATTAGCACCACTCCTTTCATTTTTAGACGGAGGCTGTATGACAGCCTCCGGGTATTGGGATTGTCTTGCCCATGACGTAAATAATGAGGATTCCACAAGCACCATCTATCGGTGGAATTGTTTTCATTACCTTGGGAATTCTATTTTTAGAGCGACTCTGAGTTTCACTGGTACACCGGCCTTCAGGAATGGCATGATCTAAAGCAAAGATCGCGTCACATACAAGTATAAACAAACAGTTCTACTTTTTCTAAATAAGCAGGATTTGTCGAATATATTTAAAATGACGTGTATATTAATACATTTCCTACGGAATATGTAAAAAAAAAAATGTGATTTACTGCTAATTTTTTATCAGACAGAATATTAGGAGATTTTGTTCCAACAGACGATGATAAAGCACGTTTTACAATATGCCGAGCCTTTTCACACCGATTCTCACACCAAAACAAGAACGAGAAGAAATGTAGTGGCGGATCTAGAGGGAGTTTGGGGGGTTTTAACCAGGCTTGGGGTCAATTACTTTGAAATGTAATTAATTACTTTCAAATACATTGATAATTTTGTCAATTACTTGCAATTACAATTACATTGATTTTTTCAAATGTAATTAATTACTATCAATTACTTTGACAAATGTAATTAAATACATTTCAATTACTTCGAGTTATAAAAAAAAAAATAAAGATTTTTTTTAAATAAGATTTTTTTCTATAGCAATTGAATTCAAACTTTCATTCAGTGTTTTTGTTCTTGGGTATGATAGGGGTTCACTCCTGGTTAAAATTAGACCTTTACCTTATAATGAGTGTGACACACTGTATAAACAAATTAAACATTATGAGACTATTAATTATTGTACAAACACAAGCCCATGCTACACCAGTATGGTGTATGGCAAGATCTTTTTTGTTACTTTCTCAAATCCATATTTTTGAAGGAAATAAATAATATCTATCACAATTCCATTCATTATTTTCTATCTTAAAATGAAAAAGGGGATGTAGTTATTCTAATTGCTGTAAAACAAATTAACTATCTAAACAAATTATTTGCAAGTTAGGGAGAACTGAGATTTATAAAACATTTAATATAAACCCATGTATAAAACTATGTATTATAAGACAACGTTTTAAATATAAACTTTCATTTTGAAAAAAAGTAATTGAAATGTAATTGAAAAGTAATTGAAAATACATGACCTTTTTTGAAATGTATTTAAATACATTCAATTACTTGTAATTGAAGGCTAGCTTGAATACAAATTACTTACAATTACTTTGAAAAATGTAATTAATTACACTCAATTACAATTACTTTATTCAATTACCCCATCCCTGGTTTTAACATGCGCGGAGAGTGATCGAAGAGCCCCACTTATCAATTGCTTCTTTTATTAAAGTAAAAACTATCTCTAGTTACAGATAAGTTTAAATTTTAGTTTTATATTTAATTGTAAAAACTTTCACCAGAATTCGCCTGTATCAAACTAAGTGTGGAGACGCAGATGACTATGCAATGTACCTGTATTATGTATTGAAGAAAATCCTGCAGTGTTGCATGCAAATGTTTTATGTCACAGGGATAAAAATAAGATATTTTAATAATACCTTAAGCATTTCAGTTTTAATGGAATTTTTT